GAATCGATTTTAGTCCTCCCATAAATGTTTTTAAGAATTAGACACAACAGTAAATTGCTAATCCAGCAGAAAGGGGTAAGGGGTGGAAATGTGGGTCAGTCGCCTCGAATGATAACAGGCATTGTTCAAAATGTCGAACAGAAAACACAAATAAAAACTCTGCAACTGTCAAACCGAGGCTTCCGACCTATTTTTTTTTTTTTTTTATCAAATGTTCTACACAAAAATATACAGAGGCGTTATATTTTCTGATATCTTTGGCCATACCCAGTACAGACATTAAGCTACACTTGCTGTAACGGTCAGACCATGATCAACAAATTTATATGTAAATAATCTACATATATCATAATGTTCGAATTATGCGAATTCGCGAATTCATCGCAAAATCCTCGAACAACAGATTGTGCAGGTTGGTTGGTTGTTTGACAGGTTTTCCGTCTCCACGACTCCTCCCGAGTCTGGGCATCGTCTCACCAATGATCGCCGTCCCTATAACCTCAAACACAGACTTCCTTTACCCGTACACTCACAAACCAGATGTCCCTACCGAACCCTCACAAACCAGTTGTTCCTTCCCGAACTCTCACAAACCAGCTGACCCTCTCTGAACTCTCACAAACCAACTGTCCCTATCCGAATCCTCACAAACCAGCTGTTCCTTCCCGAACTCTCAAAAACCAGCTGCCCTCTTTGAACTCTCACAAACAAGATGTCCCTACCCAACCCTTACAAACCAGTTGTTCCTTCCCGAACTCTCACACACATCAATTTCCCTCTTCCGGTACCCTCACAAATAAGTTGTTCCCTACCTGTACCTCACAATGACGAATCAAAAACAAAACCCATTGGTTTAATTCATCCAAGACACACATAAACATGTTATCTCTACATATCAGATTGACGGATCAATACGGTACGGTCATGCTTACTTCTATTTTTTTAATCAACATAAAATGTTTATCCGCAGTTGTAAGTAAACAAAGGACGAACGTGTTATCATTCACGTCCTTTATGAGTGGTATAGTGAAATACATAGGTGTTAGTTTGTTCTACTTTCTATTCCACAGGCACTTGGCATGAATTCCCAACTCCATGGTCTGTTTATAAGCAAAAGAGAATCTAAGTATTTATATAAGAACATGGATCGAGTCCCTGAGTTTCCCTGCGTCAACATTTCGGCAGCAGCAGTTAGATGTTGTATGTATTTTTGGATCGTTATTTTGATACCTTTAGTCTAAATAAAATTAAATCTTTATATTACTTCTGTATTTCTTTGCATGAAAACCATTCTTCTTTATAAATATATATATATTTACCAATAATAGCACTAACACGATACAATGGTTGTGAGTAAAATACAAATGTATATGTCTTAAATTATTGTACTCACAGAACAGCGATTAGAGTAATGGTCACGATTCGATAAACTTAAACAAAAATTGGTAGTTATTATCTCCAACACATAGCTTTCTTTGTTTGCTAGAATGATCGCTTTGTGAAGAAAGCTTGTATTGTTTGGAGGCGAGAAATCCTTGTAAAAGCTGAACGTCACCTAATCGAACAACATGCGGGAGATACACCGCATATTATTCAAATTCATTCGGGTCATGTCTTGTCATAGGACACAACCATAATAGCACAGGATGTTACTTGTCTTAGCGTTTTCAGCGACTCGCTGCCACGGGTAGGGAATCGAACCACACACACTTAGAATATTCACATCAGGTCGATCTTCTACCGACTGAATTATTAGGGACACACAAACCATGTTAAATATCAATTATGTAGTCAATACAAGGCAACAGTGTACATGTGTCTGTGTTATTCAATTGTATATAATTGAACAATTCATAAATATACTGCTTCGGAAAAAGAAAAATGTCAAAAATGATATCTGTGAATTTTACTGAATACATCAATTATACCTGGTAGGTACCTACACAATAAAACGTTATCGATCCAATCACGGGTTAAACCAGACGAGCTTCCTTGTCAGCCTTCAGTATTGTGTCGGTTCTATTTTTAACTTTATCTACGTCGCACTTGCACATGAGTTAAATGTTAATTTCCATTTACATTCTCTTCCTGTGTTCTATCGACAAAAATGAAAAGTGATTTAATTCCACACAGGTTTATACACCACAGTGACACTTTCCGCTTAGAATTAATACTAACAGGTTCAGCCTAGCGAAGTAAGGTCTTATACCTCTATCAGAAAGAAGTATACAAACTTTAAATACACATTAAGTAAACTTATGTACGAATTGCACAATAACCTGGTACCGTGTTATTTCAAGTAACTGATCTTCGGTGAACAGGGCTCCTATATTGTAAATGATAATGAAACTATACTAGTCGTAAATCTGCCTAATAAGTGTATTATTTCTTTCAGTGCAACAAAAAAAGATACATGTTTAACAATATAACGTAACTGAGTGGACGTCTGTCAAAATTGAAAGATTACTCTATCATTTTCATCTCTCATCTCTTCTCAACCATTCCATCCTCATCTCATCTCTTCTCAGCCATTCCATCCTCATCTCATCTCTTCTCAACCATTCCATCCTCATCTCATCTCTTCTCAACCATTCCATCCTCATCTCATCTACCCTCAACCATTCCATCCTCATCTCACTCTCATCTCTTCTCAGCCATTCCATCCTCATCTCACTCTCATCTATCCTCAACCATTCCATCCTCATCTCATCTACCCTCAACCATTCCATCCTCATCTCACTCTCATCTACCCTCAGCCATTCCATCCTCATCTCACTCTCATCTACCCTCAGCCATTCCATCCTCATCTCACTCTCATCTATCCTCAACTATTCCATCCTCATCTCACTCTCATCTACCCTCAGCCATTCCATCCTCATCTCACTTTCATCTATCCTCAACCATTCCATCCTCATCTCACTCTCATCTACCCTCAATCATTCCATCCTCATCTCACTTTCATCTACCCTCAGCCATTCCATCCTCATCTCACTTTCATCTATCCTCAACCATTCCATCCTCATCTCACTCTCATCTATCCTCAATCATTCCATCCTCATCTCACTTTCATCTACCCTCAACCATTCCATCCTCATCTACTCACTCTCATCTACCCTCAACCATTCCATTCCCATCATCTCACTCTCATCTATCCTCAACCATTCCATCCTCATCTCACTCTCATCTACCCTCAACCATTCAATTCTCATCTCACTCTCATCTACCCTCAACCATTCCATCCTCATCTCACTCTCATCTACCCTCAACCATTCCATCCTCATCTCACTCTCATCTACCCTCAACCATTCCATCCCCATCTACTCACTCTCATCTACCCTCAGCCATTCCATCCTCATCTCACTTTCATCTACCCTCAACCATTCCATTCCCATCAACTCACTTTCATCTACCCTCAACCATTCCATCCTCATCTCACTCTCATCTACCCTCAACCATTCCATCCTCATCAACTTACTCTCATCTACCCTCAACCATTCCATCCTCATCTCACTCTCATCTACCCTCAACCATTCCATCCTCATCAACCCACTCTCATCTACCCTCAACCATTCCATCCTCATCTACTCACTCTCATCTACCCTCAACCATTCCATCCTCATCTACTCACTCTCATCTACCCTCAACCATTCCATCCTCATCAACTCACTCTCATCTACCCTCAACCATTCCATCCTCATCTCACTCTCATCTACCCTCAACCATTCCATCCTCATCTCACTCTCATCTACCCTCAACCATTCCATCCTCATCTCACTCTCATCTACCCTCAACCATTCCATCCTCATCTCACTCTCATCTACCCTCAACCATTCCATCCTCATCTCACTCTCATCTACCCTCAACCATTCCATTCTCATCTACTCACTCTCATCTACCCTCAACCATTCCATCCTCATCTACTCACTCTCATCTACCCTCAACCATTCCATTCTCATTAACTCACTCTCATCTACCCTCTACCATTCCATCCTCATCTCATTCTCATCTACCCTCAACCATTCCATCTTCATCTACTCACTCTCATCTACCCTCAATCATTCCATCCTCATCTACTCACTCTCATCTACCCTCTACCATTCCATCCTCATCTCACTCTCATCTACTCTCAACCATTCCATCCTCATCTACTCACTCTCATCTACCCTCAATCATTCCATCATTATCTCACTCTCATCTACCCTCAACCATTCCATCCTCATCAACTCACTCTCATCTACCCTCAACCATTCCATCCTCATCTACTCACTCTCATCTACCCTCAACCATTCCATCCTCATCAACTCACTCTCATCTACCCTCAACCATTCAATTCTCATCTCACTCTCATCTACCCTCAACCATTCCATCCTCATCTCACTCTCATCTACCCTCAACCATTCCATCCTCATCTCACTCTCATCTACCCTCAACCATTCCATTCTCATCTCACTTTCATATTTATTCAAACTTTCCATCCTCATGACCTCATCTCACTTCCACACATCCTCAACCATTGTATCTAAACACACCCTAGACTCACTTTATCTACCCTCTACCATTCTACCTCATCTGATTCTCGTTAATTGTTAAACAGTCCATCCTCATCTTCCTCCCTACTATCCTACATATTCCATCATCATCTCACTTCCATCTGTCTTAAACCTTTCCAGTCTCGTCTCACTTTCATCTAATCTGAACCAATCAATTATCATCTCACGGCTCTCATCCTCTCAGACACTTCGTCCACTTTACACTCTTTACCCAACTTTCACTTCCTACTTATAATCATTTGACTTTCAACTTACCTCCCCTGTTTTCAAAGACCGTCGCTACAATAGCCCAATGTGGACGACAATCAATAAAAGTTTAGCGAATTTTCCGTCAAACTAACAAAGCTTGTCCCACTTCAATGGGTCCTGACATTATTTTCAAGAAATCTTCTCATTAATTCATATTCATGTTCTTGCTATTACGCCACCTATGATTAATTAAAAGCTTACCTGTGATGAAGTCAGAAGACCCAAAACATGTACCACTGCTGTGAAGGCTGCCTTGACGAGCAATGAATTACTTCCCATTTTTCCGAAAACACGAACAAAATTCACTTTACCAATAATTAAACGCAATTACATTTAAACTTTTTTTCAGAGTCCTCCTCAGTAAGGTGATCACATGTTCGAAATGTCATACATTCCTAGATTAATCCGTACTGTGAGGAGAATTGTAGTGTACGACAGACATGTGTGAGATGTTCATAGATGTTCGTCCTGCCTCTGACTCGTCAAGTACCACATGACCAAGGCCTAAATACACACTATCTTTCGTAGTACTTTGTGATGACATATTTCCCGTTAAACTTTAGAAAAATCCCTTATTAGAGCGACCAGCCAGCTCATGGTAAGTGTACGCACTTGGGGACAACCCGGAAGTTTATGAAGTTTGCGGAGCGGTGTTAGTGTGTGTGTGTGTTTGCCCTCGATACACAGGTATTTCACACACGGTCATAGGTTATGGTTCGGTGGCCAGGCATTAGATGTATTAGTCACATGTATGTTATTTACATTTACGTGTGTCTAGAAGAGGATTTATAAATCAAAGTCCATGTTTTTGACGCAGAGTATGTTATTATTCCTTTCATAATTTCATCGATGACACAACAATGTCTTTATTGTAAAACTCATCATTTCGTTTTACGGTTTTTTTCCACATATTTGTAATTATTGATACAATTTACAACATATCAAGAAAATTCATATTGGAAAATCATTTCTTACTCCATGCTATATCAGAATTTTTTATTATGTCATTTACTGTGTATATAAAACTAGATTATCCATTGTTATAAGTAAAACATGATAATTTTACAATAATAACTTATATTTACAAAAATCGATATCCTCGACATAAAAAATTGTTATCAACCTCTGAAGAATAACAAAATAGACTTGCGTTTATTAATTTTATTATCAAATATATGTCACGGCGTTCCTATACAACTCATTGTCACTATCAACTAACCCTACGTTTCCTATCTATATCTGTTTTTACATTTCATTGTATTAATACCTAGAAATATATCATTACTTACATAATATGTACATGGTTGGATTTATCATTAAAGTAATGATGTTCGTGTGTAGCTCTCTATCTATGTGTATACAAACCATCGTTACAATTAACATTAAGCAATTACCGGTTTACTCTTACATATATATATGTGTGTGGGGGTGTGTGTTTGTGTGTGTGTGTGTTTAAAATTTATACATATATGTGTGTGTGTGTGTGTGTGTGTTTAAAATTTATACATATATATATATATATATATGTGTGTGTGTGTGTGTGTGTGTGTGTGTGTGTGTGTGTGTGTGTGTGTGTGTGTGTGTGTGTGTGTGTGTGTGTGTGTGTGTTGTGTGTGTGTGTGTGTGTGTGTGTGTGTGTGTGTGTGTGTGTGTGTGTGTGTGTGTGTGTGTGTGTGTTTATATATATATATATATATATATGTGTGTGTGTGTGTGTAGTACTGTACCAGGTTCTTGTTATCTATAGTATCTCTCTATAAAAATATATGTGTGTGTGTGTGTGTTTATACATATATATATATATATATATATATATGTGTGTGTGTGTGTGTGTGTGTATCTAAAATTTATACAATTAGACCTGCCCGAGCCGCATTATTATTTAATTGTATTTTGACACCAAACTTTTGTCTCTACATTTGCGTTGGTCGTGTTTCAAGCTATATATATGTTTACTATCACATGTGACGGCACAAAACACACAGCACTATAATACAATGATGGTAGGATTGTGTTGATAGAGTGATAGAGAGTTTGGGGGAGGGGGGAAGGGGGGGGGCTCACTGAAAAAACCAAGCTCAAACAATTTCAGGTAACGAACTTCTTGACGGAACGCCGACACATAATTATGTTGTGGATTATAAATAATTCATTTTGTTTTTTGGGTTTCTTAGGGTGGACCGACACTCCCAGTCGCAGAAAATTGCAAAAAGGAGGTTTGAATGAACTATTTACACATGACAACATCTTCAACGAGCATTTACAATTATTCTCCTTATTTTCACATTCTTATAATTTCTGTTTCAGTCTCTATGGTTTGGAACTTTGCACTTTATGACCTTTTGCGATGACGTCAATGTCTCTAAGTCAGCAAAGCAAATAAAAATGAGTGTTGCGAGTGTACGATTTGTACACCAGGAAAAGAGATTGGTTTGTCCCCACCAAACTTTCGAAACGTTCAGACATTTTTGTCCAGAAAAAAATTGTAATCACACGATTATATTTTGAGCAGTCCTTAGTAATTCATTACATTTACTTAAAGATAAAAAAAATAGTAGATCTCAATACACAGCCTTGTACTAGACCTACAGTTAAAAGGACTAAATGGTTAGATTTCTTTTTTTTCCAGTGCGTTTGATTTCATGCCAACATTGTAATACTTAAAATTAGACTCTTCACAAAATTATAACACTGAGAGAAATTGATATAGATTATCTGCCTCAAACTAACGCGTCGACACTCGCTGTTGTGTCTACCACCCATTGATGTTTTGATCGGAGATATCCGAATTCTTCAGTGACCTTTTGGAGCCTCGTTTTAACCCCGCCGTGATTTCTTAAGTATAATTATGTAATTAACCAAAACTTAATTTGCCAGCCATGTTTCAATTCTTACTTTGTAAAAATGAGCCCTTGTTTCACACTATACGCGTGAAGGAGCGGAATAAATGAACTTGAGTTAATCTGCATTTAAAATTGTATGCGCTAAGATATTGTCTACACTCTCCGAACGATAATGAAATGAATAAGTGTTTGGTCGCTTCTATTTGTAACGTAGGACGAGCGTCAAGTAGTTATCAGGGAAAAGAAAACAATGCAAATATTCAATTAATTTATTTACAACACCAACAAAACACACACACTCATTTACCCGGTTTCACACAAATACTGAAATACACTACATTAGTATCTCACAGCCATGCAAAGTTCCAATACGCAGACGATCACAGTCAATGGTCCCACAGAGGAAACGTCTACAAACACTGGTTTCCACAGAGGAAAACTCGTCTAGGAACACGCAGTTCCAGAAGGCTGAGTAATCAGAAACAAACCGGCACTGCATGTGCCAAACAATAGAGTATGTCACTCATGTCGACCTACACACGCTGGTGTGCTTCCCATGGTCAAAGTATCCATATCTGTCCAGAACCAAACAGCGCCGACTCTCTCGTTGCAACGCTTGCAACCTGTCCTAGTGTTCCAGATAGTTGGCTGACCTAACTGTACAAAGGTCCTGGTGCCGTCACTTAACTGTGAACGAAATGTCACTTAATAGTGAACGAGATGAACATAGCTTGCGATGTCACCAAGGTCTGTCCTGGCGTTCTAGTAAGTTGGCTGACCTTACTGTCAAAAGGTCCTGGTGCCGTCACTTACTAGTAAGTGACCCATTCTGAGGTACTTCTAAAGCTGAGGTTGTGACCGTCACATGGAGCACAGTCTGTAATCTGTGCCTTTTTATCCTACACAGCCGCTAATGCAAATAGAATCGGGTAAATAACCCGTAAACAACGGCTTAGGAATTCACGCGACTGCCATGAATTTCAACTCACCTGGTCACACGACAAGATACGGTGGCCCGACAGGAACAACGAAAACACGTACACAAACAACATATTATACATACGACGTGACACTATTTTATTTCAATTTTTAGACGTTCTTAATAAAATGATTATGCAAACTTTAAAATAGCATACTTAACAAAAAGTACACAATTTCTAACAGAAATTTAAGTGTTACAATGTTTTTCATCAGGTGTGAAATGAATATCTATCCATTTAATCCATTTAATTTATTAGGTGACTTATTAAAAGCTGAAAAAACAATTCTGTACCTTTCAAGAACTCAAGGTAATGACTTTGAAAACTATGGATAGCATCAAAATATCTCTCCCGTGGCAAATACTCGGCCAAACCGTCTAAAAATAGCGCATCGGCAAATAGATTTCATGCGGAGTATTTGGTAATTACTACACAAGTATGTATGCTGTTCAATACATTCTTTTTCTGGGATAACAATTTTATTATTTCATAAAGGTTTTTTTCTCTTGATTTTTTAATTTACGCAAATATTTCATTCTGCAACGTAAACTTGTAATGACGCAATCAGGGTCGCGCGAATGTTTGTATCTCAATCTTTCGATTCAAACATATTTTATTGTCATTATCATCAGCAACAGCATTGCGCACAAGTTATAGCCAGATGTATAAAGAATTTCCGCAAATCAAACGTGATGAGTGTGTTTAAATGGTAAATTGAGGTTTAAGGTTTCCATAAGAACATGAGCCGATGATTTTGTACAGTTTTCTTCAAAAACGTCCCAAGAAATTCCTGTAAATTGTCACCGAAGCATCAACAATACACGCGAATATTTCTAATGTACAAATAGTTACATTGTAACCTTAAATTTTGATATCATTAAAGGTGAGTTAATCCATTTTTTTTATTTTAACACTCGAGGTCATATTAAGAAAAACATAATACATAGCCCCCTAGTAGACATCAAGACAAATTCATCATCCCTTACTTGATCAAAAATAGAAATCAGAAAGTTAAAATTGTATTTTGAATAATTTTATACTTACGACGCCTACACGTGACCTCCCATTACAACACGTGCAGGCGGTACGCGTGAGGGAATCGCTTGTCGGTGGGAATGGGGAGGGGGGGGTCGATTTTTACAATTTGTCTGATGATATACGTCAACAAAATCATATAGTTACGAACTTAACAGATATCACAGTAATTAAAAAAATGGTAAATACCATTGTTCATTACAACAAATTGAATCGCTTACTTCAACTACCACTTGTTTAAATTTTTAAATGTACTATTTCAGTTAGTCATGAATAATTTCTGCCGAATTAATGCACGTGCTAAAATAAACAGTTTTCTCACACTGCTGAATACAGCTAAAATGTAGGTGGCAAGTGTATTCCGACAATGGTAGCGCAAGTTGTAGGATATGTGTAAATAACATCACTAAGATGAACTAAGATTGTGATCTTTTACGCCTAGTTAAGAGGGATGTGTCGGTCGTTTATCGCCAGCCACTTTCTAACCGTGATTAAGAACGTACCAACAGAAAGTCATATTTGATTGAACGGTATTTTCACC